GTAGAAATTACATTAAAGGCATCTATACAACTACTTTTAGTATTATTATCTATTATTACGCCATTCTTCACAACTTTGTTCTTATTAAATACATTATCTAAATTAATGTTAATTATCGGAGATTCGTCATCTCCATCACTGTCACCCGTCCATTCAGAGTCTTTAATTGGCTCCGAAATTTGTTTTGAATGTCCATTTCGAGTCACTTGAGGTAATGATGATTTTGATAAATCATTTTCCAAACCAGAATTCATTGCAATCTCATGACCCAACTTTTTCACAAAATCCAACTGAGTCTCTCTTTCTAATTTAGCTCTACGAAGGTTTTCACGCAATTTTTTATTTTCTTCCATTAGAGATTCATAATTCTTTTTCAAAAGTTCATTAAGAGCACGAGAATCCTCTAATTGAGATTTCATTGTAGAGCTAGTCTTTTGTGAATGCTTTAATTCATTTTGAAGCGAGAAAATTAACGTTTCAGTATCAGTTTTATGTTTTGACTGTTCTTTCTCGACAAGCTCACGATACTTATTGTAGTTAGCATTAGATTTTTCCAAGTCTTGGCGAATTCTGGAAATTTCATTAGTTAGACGCTTATTATCTGCTTGAAGACTTTTTATCTCACAATCTTTTAAAACAATAGAGTGAGCTTGATTTTCAATTTTTTCGCTGGAACGTTTAATTTCTTCGTTTAAACGACCAAATTCATCATTTTGTGGCTTTATTGTCCTTTTATTATCGTATTTAGTACGAATCAAATCTTCAGAAAAATTGGAGATTGAACTTATGTATGAACCTTTTCCATTTAGATTAGTTGCATATGGATCACCCATATTCTCTCGGCTATTTTCTCTGTTTTCCTTATGCGCAACATTGTCCAATGATTTTTCAAGTTTACCTTTTTCGGGACACGACTCACGTTTAGATAGACCATTGGTAGTCTTAGTAGTTAACACCTATATTATAATTATTAATTAATTGACCACACGATAATTTAAAATCAAATGTCGAACAAGAATACCTTATCCGTATTATCAAAGAGGTTTGTGATATCATTTAGTGTCGTACTCATTTCATTTAATTGCCGAGATTCTTCTTGACAGTTTAGTAATTCTTTCTATAAGTGGCAACAAATAAATGATTAATACTATTCAAAATAAGATAAGAAAATTATACAATAATTAATCATTTTACCTCAAGAAAGTCATAAATCGAGACTTTCGGGTTTAAAGTAAAATTGAATTTTGTTATTTCATTCGTGTCCTGTAATCCAAGATTATATTAAAAAAAACAAAAAAAAAAAAAGGAAACAAGTCTAAATTATATGATAAACTCCAAGATTCATACTTCATCTTTGGCCGAACCACTAAATAAATATTTAAATTGTTAATATAATATACTGTATTTAAAATGATATCAAAGTTACAACTTACTTATTAAACTTGGGCTTTGTACTTGAATTTTTGGTATTCTGTTTTGAAAAATTAACTGACGCAGTCACCTTACGGAACAATAATTTTTTATCTTGATCATTGAAGATATCGATACCAAACTCCTACAACACATCAAGCAAATTGAGAAATAATGAAATTTCACAGATATAAATGAAACATAAGATAAATGCATACCACAATATCACTTGGTTTTAACTCTACTTTTTCATCTTCATTTACAATATAGTTGATACGTTGTCCGTTAACGAATGTTCCATTGCTCGACTTCATGTCTTTAATATAAATCTAGTAACAAGTAGGAATCAAATTAACAATATTAGAATTCTATCACATCAAGATAGTTGAGAAATACGAATGCTAAGAGTCACATTAAGGAGCCGACTATTTGTCGATGATAAAAACTTTCAGAGAACATTATGGGTATCAAATTCTAATTATCTAATTCCTAATACTATTACCAGGCTTTCCACCAATTTCATGACTAAAGCACCGTAATTCCATAATATAAACGCGTTTCATTTCCATATATAAAATTGAGTACCTTCCCGTTCTCAAGCCAAATCTCAGCATGAACCCTCGAAAGAACTTTGCTATCATAGTAACCATTTGTCTCAGTCGGGTTTGTTAGCTTGTTTATTGCTCTGCCAATTTTGATTGGTGAACCTTCAACCAATAAAAGACGTTTTGTGCCAAAAAGATCATTCAACGATTCCAAGATCAGTGTGCAATTTGGTGCCGAGCTTAAGAATGAAGGAACAATGGGAGTAGTAAAAAAATTTTGTTGGGGTCTCGACGGGGTACGTTTAGTTGTATTTGTAATAGAATATTTTGTAGAACTCATCGCTAGATTTCAAAGAAAGTGTAATAAAGTTTTAGTATAACTAGAGACATGTATATGATTTAATATAATGATTTTCTATTGGCAGAATTAATCTTGCATTGCATAACTCGTATATCATATACATATATTTTTTAAAATGGTAATTGCAACCATATTGGTAATTAAAGTTTACCTGTAGTTGCCGCGGCTTTTTGGAGAAATGATGGTGAGTATCCGTTAGAATAACGAATAGAGAAAATATCCATCTTTAATCAATTGTAGATGTTCAGAATTCAAAAAAGTACGTGAAGAGAGAAAAAAAACACAATGCAAATATTTGATTATTATATAGTTTTGGAACTATCACTATGATTTCATATGTGACAATCATGATTATTTGTTTATTGGAAAATCAAAATTATATATCGATATTAAGTCTTTTATGAATCCGATGAATTGTAATACCAACACTCGGTGTGCTAAATACGATTACGTATGATCTCCGGAAGGGGCTCCATCAAGCAATACCCGCAGAAATTATTGATTTAAAATTCCGACAATTGCACGGATCCCCATTTCTTTACTCAGTAGTATCACAGCGAAAAAGCTTTCAATGAATCTAATTTTTCATGGCTTACATGAAACGATTTCTTAATTTTCGTGGCATGTGTGAACCTGTTTTGTCAAGTTATGTCCTTTCGTGCATGATACTAAATCATTCATATCAATATAGATGCAGTGACAATATCAGGGAAAAGTTTAATCTTATTTTTAACCGTATATAGTGATATATATATATATATGTTTATTCTAGGCATGTCTTTTAAAGATGAAATTTTTTATTTTAGTTATTTATTTTTTGCATGTTTAGGCATGTTTAGCCCCTAAGAGCGATAGATTAGAGATCGCCTGGACAGAGCTATCCACTTTGGTTTTCGCGGGGCTTTTTCTGAATCTCATAGCAAAAATGTTAAATGAGATTCTACGTGGAGAGTGTTAATATTAGAAATATGAAATACATTATATATATTTTAAAAGTAAAAGACACATCAATTAGAATAAATAAATATACGGCTATTATAGCAATAGGCTTGTGCTGACTTGCAGATGCATATAAATGCATACCGGTTGAGTAAATGAGAAAAAAAAGTTTATACGTACGTACGTACGTACGATCAGTATACATGATAGGTTATGACCTTGTGACCTTATGACATAAAATTTACTACGTATAGATAGTATATATTTTATCCGATCTTGCGGGTCAAAAGATGAACAGCTAACTTAGTTTTGATTTTTTTTTTTTTTTTTTATAATTGTAAGACTTGTCTTTGTTATATTATTATAGCAAAATTAAGTACGAAAACTGAACTATAGCAAATTAAAGCTATGGTTAGTTTATCACTTTGCCTATGCTCTACTAGAGTGGGCCACAAGCTTTATCTAGACTATAATGTGGATTATATAAGAGGTAGAAATATTGGTTTTAGTAAGGACACTGCAAATGCTTTGTACATAAGACTGCTAGAAATAGTAATAGTATTGTAATGTCATTGTACTGTACGTAGTCAAATATTCAAATAAACGCATATCACCTTGTTGCTATATTGACTGTTGTTGCTATTTGTAAAATTGTTAAAAGAACAAATAGCTTGAGGCAAAATTTCATGAGTTACTTCAGCACTAAAGTTTTAGGTACTTGGGTATTCGCCATTTTTTTCTTGGAATAATAACGGTAGTCGATTAAAAGAGATAGTTCAAGTATTGATTGTCATTTTTGTATCAATTGACCGTAGCATTTGAACGTCATCTCAATCAATTACATTGAGTAACCAAATTAATTATATATCATATCTATATATGGGATCTTTGCTATGAAAATCACCCTTCGACATTTTCCGATCGGGCAAATTCGGGAAAATTCAAACCAATAATACCGGTACGTATTTACTTGCATATAAATCATTTTTACCTTTATTGGTTCAAACGTTCATTCGATAAGCTATTGAATCAATAAGGGCAATTCATGATTTATATGTAAATAAGAACCGGTAGGTTTAAAATGTTCAGAATTAGCCCGATCGGAAAATGTCGAAGAGTGATTTTCCTAATGTATTGGAGAATTAAATTTTAAGGGTAGAGTACATGTAGATCATTTTCTATATAGATTTGCCGGTCAAAAAAAATTTTATATATGCATTAAAAATATGCTACTAACAAAAAAATTTTAAAACTACAGTTAGTTTTTACCAAAACTTTGTGATAGGTTAGCCTTTCTATTTGTGACTGTAAAACTTTTAACCCTCATTTCATTTAAAAAAATCCTTAGCGCTATATAGTCAAATCTTCCTAGGACGACTAATAATCTTTCTAGGTAGCACCAACAAAATTCTGGTTTTTTTCCGGAACTATAGAAATTTCGATTATAACCGCAGTATTAGATAATCATAAGAAACTGCCGCTGTTGTTTTTGAAGCTTTAATACTTTATTCTATAAAAAACTTGAGAATTCAAAATAAATAATATTTTTTACTCCTAAAATTTTCAATTTTGAACTGTTAATGTTGTACACCAGATTCGAATTTAAAATTGAGTTATGTCCGATTCTGGGCTGCGTCAAGCCAAGAATATAAATTATGCAATGTATATAAGGAATATAACCATAATTAAAATCATAATTAAGCAGCTATTGAAATATTCACAAGTTTTGTATGCTAAAATGTCAAAATTTTGGCATCAAATAAGAAAGAAAAGCACCAATCAATCAAAAATTAATTTGATGCAAATCTTCTATTTTAACTTAATCTTCAACTTAAATTTCAATCTGATGCAACTCAGTTTTAAATTTAATTTCATACACAACATTAAATATAACAAAATTATTCTGATTTTGAATTTTTTAAATAATTACTAGAACTATAGAAAGAAAAAGTATTAACAAAACACTTTGAAAGAACATAATGGCTGATATGTTTGGATCAAACATTTGTATATTTAAGTAGTCTGATTAAAGTTTGAGTATTTTTTTATAAAACTAATAAACATACATAAATATATTATTATTATTATAATAGTCTGTCAAGAAGGCCATGCATTTGGTGAAATAATCAAATATTTTGTATATAATATACGTAAACGTTTAGCTAATGAAAATATAGTTGTATATTTTAGTTTTTCAAATTATTTTTAATATAGTATTTTCATAGAATCAAATTAAGAAAGCTAAGACTACTAAATTTCTATTAGTGAAATCAAGCCATCAGGACTAGTTTTATTTATATAGCAATGAATAAAACATCAAAATTCAATAGTAACATTATTTAAATATAATAGTTATATATTAACAATATATAATATGAAAATACAAAGACAATAGTAAACTATCTATATATTAAATTATAATCTAATTGAAATGTTCTATTTTCTAATCTTAAAATCTGTTCAATTAATTGATATGTGACTAATCAAAGAATAACTTTATATAAACTATAGTAAGTTATTATACTAATATCACATTTTGATATTCTAATCCTATTTATTACTAACTTTGAAATTTTATTTGGCAAAACACAAACTAATATTCCAAATAAAAACTTCCTTTGCCTAATTTCAGGATTTAAATCATTATTTCCTCTTTTTACTATAGTCTCAAATTTATTTATATATGACTGATCTAACAAAGATTATTGATTAGTAAAAGATTATTAACTATATTAATCAGAACACAAGCTTGCGAATAGATAGGAAAATACAGTAGGTTGTATAAAATTAACATATCTATGCTTCTTTTATACCAAGCCTTATACTATATTACGAATATAAGTTCACAAACTTCACAAATGATATCTCTTTCTTTATCACCAGGCTATTTAAAATAATAATTAAAATAAGTATATATATCATTATCATATATAATTAAATAATATGTATCCTATTCATTATTAAATTCCTGATTCTAAAGCTTTGGCAGAATTATTGATAACTGAAAAGAACATTCACTATTAAAACAGTAACCCAATATGTTTTTGATTCTTAGATAATTTATACCAATATGATAGCGTACCTTCAGATACATAATGATTCAACATATAACTCAATAAGAAAACTTATCTAGTATATATAACTATAACCCCTAAGGGGGTTATAATTCTTTTTATCAACTTAAAACAAAACACTTCAAATCTTTTTCTCTTATCTACCAAAGCCTCTTCTTCAATATAAACAAATTCAAGAATCATCTTTGTTTTAAAAAAAAATTAATCACAAGCAATAAAAAAATAAACAAATCACTAAAAGCAACAAATTTCTATAATTTCATTATACTGCTCTTTATAAATGAGTTTTGCTTATTTCTTAATGGTGATAAAAATAAAAAACAATAATAGAAAAGAGAATTACTGTCAGTTAGGGATGGCAAATATTTTAAAACAACCTGTTTTAAAACATAT